TAAAATAGTTGGTAAGTCATTGCCAGTGGACTCTTAGGGGAAGAACATGTTTCAACTGTAACAAGCAACATCATCTTGGGCATTGAGCAATAGTTAAACTCTCCCTTATGAGTTATGACATGGCAGATTTGTAAACTTATGAAATTTAAATGTGACATCTTTTAATACGCCTTACTGCTAACCTACTAGTGGTAGCTGGGTGGACCGAATTCTGGCTCCGGTCTTGGAACCAGAAGTGGCTGCTCTAGGTCCTAGATATGATAAACTTGACCGAAATCGCGGGCGTGTGAATAGGTGTCCACAAATATACGTGAGAATAGTGTCCATATACGGTGAGAATACGGTGACTCCGTTTATGAGGATAGTGGCCAACCAACAATCTTTTACGTGATAATAAATGGTTAGTTAGCCACTATTCTCCCCTTTTAAAAATTGACGAGGATAGTTGCCACTACCCTGATCACAAATTAGATATCTATGAATATATGATTAGTAAACTTTAAAGTCACATATATGTCTACTCGTGATATATTTGGGATACATTAATAAAATTGGAATATACTCCCTCCGTCCCGCAAAGATGTTCCCGGTTTAACCTACACACATATTTAGGAAATAAATTTGACTTTACTGTTTAGACACTGTTTGGCACTGTTTAGACGTTGTTTGACAATGTTTTGCACTGTTTGACACTGTTTTGATGTAGGATAACTTTCCATTTAGGGAAAAGGAACTTCTTTTTGGGACATCCAAAAAAGGAAAACGGGAACATCTTTGCGGGACGGAGGGAGTATGATATGACTATCATGTCGTTTTAACCAACTGAGCTTAATTAGCGCAATTTGCTGTCTTAATCCAGTTGCCAAAATCATTAGAGTTCTTGTATGAAGATCTCCCCCTTTCAACACTAGACATGACCAGATGACCTATTGACCTTGGCCTGAAGCCCCATAACTCTAGCTTTCAAGCTTTGATCCCAAATAATTGTTCTGCCTTTTTTCATGATTTCCCTTCCCACAACTCCACTCTTGCTATTCCCTATCGAACCATACATCACAGATGTAAGTTTTGTTGAACAACTGGTCAGCGAAAGGACATCACAAGAAACGCAACCACAACGGCTCAAGAAACAACATATAGATGGGTGTGAGGGAACTTTCTCTGATTTATAGCTAAGAGTTATGTCAGTATATGCACTGCCAGATTCAGGATTTCAATTCAGGGGTTAAAATTTTCAAATATACTCCATATAATATAACTTTACTTGCGTAAAAAAGTAAAATATAAAAATAAATGTTACAAGTGTTTAAGAGTATATCCAAGTCAATTATAAAAAATATACTCACTAAAAGAACAAGTTAGACTGTGATGAAAAGATCCTTACATATCACAAGATCTAAAATACTAGTTTTAATGTTATTTGAAATTACTTTGTACAAATACAAAAGTTTGATTGAACTACAAGAAAACATGCATTCAATAATAATGAATACCTTTTGTCTGTTAAATTAATTCTAGGTTGTGTTTATTCAATGCCATTTTTATATTATTTGCTTACGATTATGGATTGCTTGGATCTGTTTCTGTGATTTCAACTTAAACAAGGGGAAAATAATTTAAATATCTCAAACTTTGAATTGAAGGGGTGTGAGGTTAGTACCCTAAACTTGCGCATGTAATATATATACCCAAATCTTTATATAAAAAGTTATGTTAACACTATGATCATGTGTTCTTTTTCACAAATGTAATTTTACGGTGTTAAGTACATAATAAAAAATGCACAAAGCACTTATGATGATGCAATTAAAATTAGATTGTACCGGATTAATATTATTTATTTCAAATAAGAAATTTTAGAATGTTAACCACATCCAAGTAAAGCTTAGTGCATTTTAATTTGTGTACTTATTGCAATAAATTTATATTTGTAAGAACATATATATAATCATGGTACGAAAATAACTTGTTATATAAAATTCGGGATATATATATTACATATGCAAGTTGGGTATTTATCTCACACCCCTTAAAGGTTTGGGGTATTTATATTATTTTTTCCTTTAAACGAATGAAACACCTACAAGCTCTCTTATGATTCATCTTGTAATATAAATTTGATGTGTATGCTATAACCGACATAATTTTTTTTATTGGTAGCAACATATTTTCCATAAAAAAGCTTCTATATATGTATTAAAACTTTGAAAATCTATTGGGGGCATATGCCCCCATTGGGGGAGGGCATAAATTCGCCCCCTTATTTATCCCAATTTTATTGCTTGAGTTTGATTGCTCAAGAAAAAAGTTGAAGTGTATATTCACTTTCAGACGTATCGTTCAATGCATATTTGTTCATTCTCCCTCATTTAAATAAAAAAGGAAAACTATATATACCTTAACAAATTGTATCTTTGTTCAATTGTTTGTATGAACAAATGAGCACACGATTATTTCAGTCAAAATATGTTACCGCTATGAACTATGATGCAAAGGTTGGTGAGTGGTGACACGTTTATTTTTATCTCAAGGAGGATTGAATATGAGAAATACGATAAACAAGCAATTGCGTCGGGCCATCGAACCAAATTAAACCCATTGTATTAATGTTCGCAAAATACGTGCAATAAGTATATACTTGTATTCTGTAAATATAATTGTGGAAAATGAATTTTTAAAAACTTATGCATCACCGTCTGTTTCACACTACAAGTTAGTGAAACATGACTTAATATTTTGTATAAAATAGGACTCTTTGTTTTTCAATATGAAAATTGGTTCATTCAATTTCAATAATGATAGAAGTGTTAAATATGTAAATAGGTACATTAGAAATAATTTTCATTTCCACTTGTAGTAAATAATTATTATTCTAATAAGAATGCTTCTTATTTGTTTACATGTGTCATTTAAATGAGTGATTGTCATTCATCCTATTTTAATTGTTGAGTATGTATGATGCAATAACTAACCCACATCACGAACAAATACTTCTACACTATTTTTTGATGTGTATGCTATAACCAACAATGTACTTTTCATCTTAATTGAATCTACCTCGATAAAATTCATGTATCTGGATTTAAATTATAACACAAGTATAGTTTCACACTATTAATATACAAGTATGATTATTATTATGGAATTGATATTTATAGTAAAAGAGAGTTTATGGTGCTACATAATAACTCATTGTATTTCCCTATTACACTCTTAATCTGTGCAAGAGAGAAAATATGTGTGAGTGTTTTTTTAATTGAAACATTAAAAGGATAAGATTTTAGTAAATACTCACCATATCCAATTGTTTACAAGCTTAATGAACAATTAAATTACCATGCGTTACTGGTTCATAAATAAAATGACAATCAATTATTTGTGTTTTACTGTGAACATGTTGGCTATTGCATAGGATTAATAGAGAGGTATATGGCTTGGATATTGTCACAAAGAAATTTGAAAGGAGATCTAGCTTGAAGATGATAGTGTATGTCCTTAGTATCTTGAATAGCATCCGCAATAGCTTGATACTCAGGTTCAATGTAAGGTTTAGAGAATGTGTGTTGCTTCTTGAAGAATCAAATATTATATCCCAGGATAATAACATATCAAGAGGCGGACCAACTATTGTCAAGACACTCCGTTTTAATTACCACCAAAGTATGCAAATCACGAAAGCATTATAATACGAGAGGTTAGACATCCAAATTATGTGAAGCATTTGGAACATTAATGATTTGAGAAATCAAATACACAATGTGAATAATATAAGATCTTGTCGCAACCAAATAATGTAATTCACACACCATACTATGTGACTCAGCTCTGGTCAACAAATAACTCACCATGCGTATGAAAAAAGTGGTTCTCGAGGATACGGTCATGCATAAAGGTTTGAGAGCAATGGTGAAACCGCTTTAGAAAATTCTGAACATACTACATATGGTGAGCAAAAACTGACATTGCAAATCAATTTGGGACGGATGTAGTACATTTTTAAACAAAAAGTTGGATGTGTTATACATTTACACGCATATGCAATCATCAATAACTTTTTAAACATAAAAATATTGTCATAAAATTTTCCGCCCAATTGTCTCTTAGATATTATGACTCTTTTTGCCATCTATAATTTATCAAAACCTAAAATGATTTGATGATCTAAGTTCAATTAGTCTTTAATTCTGCTTGAGCGTTACTTGAGAATGCCTATAATTCACATAACACTCTTAGAACATTTCTATAAAACTATGCAATATGTGCAATATGGTAATTGTAATTTTTATGCCTGGATCGATCGATACTATGAATATATGATGTAATATCATATGTATGAATCTATAATAATTAACACCAACACATAATCAAATAGCTTGCGAGCTTTTCTAGTCAAGAATGTATATAACTTGCGCTTGATTTTGTTCAAATTGAGTACAAACCGAATTTGAATCGAGTTGAGCTATGTTTGAGTAAGAATCGAGTGAATCTCGAGTAACTAGAAAGTAGGCTTGCTTGATATGTACCCTACTTGCTAGCACAATTCATGCTTTCCACTTTTAAGAGGAAGTCGCCATTGAGTTGGCGATTATGATTAACCAGGATTTATTCTAGTAGTATTTCGATAAATACTTTTAACTTGATTATAATTCCTAGTTAATTTTTTATTTATCATTATTTTGAAAAAAAACTCTTAGAATCCATCAAAATCCATTAAAATCCCCAACTAGGACTTCAATGGATTTTAAAACATTATGAATATCAAAATCCGAGGGATTCTACAAAATATGTTCGTGAAATGTTTTTGTATTTAAGAATCCATCAAAATCCCATTAAAATCCATCCCAAATAAGTACAATAGAAATTAGGGGATGTTTAAGAATACCGTTATTTTCTTGGATTTCACATAAATTCAAATGGGAGACAAATGAATTCTAGGGAAATTCTAAATTCTATTAAAACTTCTAGAATCCAAATTTAGATATGGATTAAAAAGAAAACAATAAGTACATATTTGAGGTATATATAAAAAAAATTATTTGCCTGCTTTTTGCTCCAGTTTGGTTTGGCTAGCCATATCCTCTTTATTTATCGTTACCGACGACAACCACCGGATATATACGCTCGTTCGCCAGCGGCACACAGCGCACGCCATTAATTTTTAGGTGAAACGTTAGAAATTTATCATCAGTCGACTGACACAAATGACGGAGGATAGCTTCCCCAGGGTTTCGTCCTCTGAATCGGCTTCGTCAACTGATCCTTCAATTTCCAAACAGAGGTGCGCACAATCCTTCTAAAGATCTACAATTTTCACCTTTATAGCTGCTTGATTTGCAACAAAAATTGTTTACTCGGTTTAGAAGGGAACCTTACCATCCAAAATTGATAATAGTCGAAGTCTAAGTCCAAGTCTTCATTACTCCTTATTAGCGCATTTTGCTCAACTGTTAATTTATCATTGTTATTATTATTTTTAATTTTTCCAATCTATTAACTCCAAATTACGAATCTGAATAAAATATACCGATTACACATGTTCTTTCATTTAATTTGAATCGGTATTAGACTATTAGTATTGGTAGAACTGTAATGGCTTCTTGGTTTTCAAACCAATGTGGAAGTGGAAGCAAGTAGCAAAAAGTAAGAATGCCCTGTTGAATTATGAATTTCAACAAGAGCAGATGACACATTTGAATTGGGCAATTAACTTTGAAGATTTCACGCAGGAAAAAAAGGAAGTGGGATCAGCCTGAAGAGTCATTGGTTTCAGCTGGAGTATGCCAGCCTCCTATTCTTCCTTTCACAAACATTGGATCTTTTGTTGGTATGGCACTACCCAGCATAGGCTCAACATGTGGCACTCTTTTAGCCACTCCCCTCACAGCCAATGGTGCATCTGTAGTGCAGCAACACACGGTAGCTCTTGCTAAAAAATAAATCATTTAATTTCAATTGGTGATAACCAGTTATTCCCTCTAAATTCCTTGAAATCTATCTTTTCTTTTATCAACGATTCAACGTATGATACACAGATGCATAATATAACAATTAGAGAAAGTAGGAGCCACCTCTGGTACTTTCAATCCACTTGGGGAGCTACTTTTTACATAACATTCTTTTGTCTTCCACTTTAATGGGTAAAGATTTGTACAATTGCAAGCTCTATTTTTATGTTATGCTTTATTATATTGTATGTTTCTTCTGATATGCTTTTCTTTGGGTTGGATGAGAGTATAGCTTAGGAGAGAGCAAAGGGGAGGGCAAAAATTCGTGTGGAGGATTGATTTCTTTTCTCTCTCTCGTTTTCTTTTATCTTTTTATGTTCTTTATCTTTCGTATGTTCTTATGTTATTTTTATGATTTATCTTTCTTATGTTATTTTTATCTTTTATCTTTCTTATGTTCTTTTATCTTATACTAGTATTTATCTTTATCTTATCATTTTTTATCTTACCTTATCTTTTTTATTTTCCTTATCTCCTTTGTGGCCTCGAAATCATTTGTGATTAAGGTTTGGATGTTGTTGTTGCGCATGATTATACTGTATCACCCTCACAAATCAATGATTAGTACCATGTGTTAGATACCTCCAGTTAAGCAGCACAAATTACAGAAAGAGATGAAGAATTCAAACAGAATTTTATTAGAGAAGATGAACAGTACACAATCCAAGGCCGAAGCCTCCCAAATGAGCCGAAGCCCCCAAAGAAGGAGATAAACTCGATCTTCCCAGTCCCAAGACTAATCGTCTAAAAGCCTGCTTTCTAACTCCCTTACCCCTCTATTTATACTAGGGTACTCAGACCCTTATTACTAATATTATTATTAATACTTCTATTATTAGTCTAATATAAGTGGGTTCCTATCAATACACCCTCCCTAAACAACCACCTTGTCCTCAAGGTGGGATGATAGGAACCAATTCTGGAATTCCGCTTCCTCCGGGTGCCTCTCCCCTCCCAATATCTGGCTGGTGGTGGTGTCATACTTTTCCAAACTTCTAGTCCTCTATATGAAAAACTCCTGATCAGCCTCAGCCTAGCATTTGCTTCTGACTTCACCCTATCTCTTGATTGAAACTTCACCCTGAATATCTCATGCAGAACTTCATTCACACACATGTCAGAAGAAGGTTCAAGAGAACTTGAGTCATACTGTGTTTCTATCTTTGAATTTAAGAACTCAACAATCTCCAATTGTATTCCCCAATCCTGATCCCGAAGTAGCATTTGTTCCATGATATTGCACTCCCTTCTATCAAACTTAAGACTAGGCCCATTCCTTTTGTAAACTGCACCCATCCGCATCAATACTTGACCATTCATCTTCATTTCTTTCATCCTTGAAATTCCTCCCCATTCCCATAGTCCCTGCTTCTTGCTTTGAATACTTATCCTGGTATTAGGATCACAAGAAACTCCGCTCACAGCTTTGATGTCATCAATTGGTAAAGGTTTCAACCATAGTGGCAGAAGATCTGGTGAATCAATAACCAATTCTTCACCATGTTGTCGTGGTTTGGTCCACATTTGCCTAACATAAGGTAAAATGTGAACATCCAAAGGCTGTATGCTACCAGGAGCCCTAATTACTGGAGTTTGCTGGTAACTCTTTGGGTTCAACCTCTGTAAAAACCTTGTGAAGACTTTATAAACCTCAGGAAGTAATAGGTTATGAGCTGTCATTGCATAGATGTCTCCCAACAATTGATAACTTTCATTTACTCTAAGGGAATTATGTAAGTCAGGCTTGGGGTAGTCTAACATGCTCTCAACCCATGGCTGTAATTCTGCTTGTTGTAATTCGAGGTGTTGGCCATGGCAAGATTTATCAGCAGCATTAATCTGTGTGCGGTTTCCCCGGGTGATAGCAGATTCTTCAGAAAAAAGATAAACATGATCCTTATGAATCTTTGGATCAGACTTTTCAGGAACCATTAGGACTCTTTCCTCCCTGATTTCATCTTCCTTATTCCTTTGCTTGATTACAGGTTCAGTTGGTTCCATCTTGATTACAGGTTCATTTGAAATTGATGATTCAGCCGGATCCCATCTTGATTCGGAAACCTGGGACAAAGGTTTTGATGACATCTGCAAATCAGTAACAATTCCTTCTGATGACGATTGAAGATGATGATTAATTAGCGAGTTGGTCAAAGCGGTACTCGATTTCAAACATGGAGTAACATTAATTCGCTTAGAAGATTGCGAACTGGAAGTTCTTCGTGACTTGGATGACTCCTGTTTTACCGTCTTCCCTGTCTTCTGCCGGTGTTTAGGTGGAAAATCCCTAATCAAATCTTCTTTTAGTGCATCCCAACTGTCTTCTCTCTTGTGAAAATCCCACCATTGAAACCAGCCATCTGCTTCTTCCCCCATAGCCTTTGCTTCCACATCCACTTTAAATCTTTCTGCAATAGCTTGGACTTGGAAATATCTTTCCATCCTCCCAATCCATTCGTATGCTTCATGCTCGTAAAATAGAGGTAATTCCTCCTTTGAAATATCTGACTTCCTAGAATTGACTTTTGACGAAGAAGGTGAACTGTGAGAATCCTTTGGCGACGAATATGATGATTCTCCACTCCCTAGCTTCTTTCTTGAACGCGTACTGATGTCCGTTGAGAAAGTCTGATGCGAAGAGCGAAAATAAGAATGATGAGAAGAACTCTGCGAAGAGTGATGTGAAGAGCTTGGCGAAGAAACAGTTCGATCGCCAGATTTTCTGCGATGCCTCAGATCTTCTGATTCCTCTGAAGTTGCTGACTTTAGCGAATTATGATGATTTTTACGATGCCTGTGAGGATCGCGATCACGCCCCGATGCAGAATCACCCGACTGATTGTCCGATCCTTCAGAACTATCTTTATACCTCGTACGCCCCTGGTGTGACGTAGGGTGCGATGAAGTCGATTTATGCGATCGACTCCCTGATCGACGTGGAGACCTATTCTGCAAATCCGCGATACTGGCTTGCATCGTGGCCAGAGTAGTCGCGATACTAGTTTGAAACTCCCGCAGACTTCTATCCATACTCGCCTGCCTCTCACGTTGACTTCTTTCCAATTCCGTCATTCTTCCTTCCGTCACGGTCATCTAGCGATCAACTGGCTCTGATACCAATGTTAGATACCTCCAGTTAAGCAGCACAAATTACAGAAAGAGATGAAGAATTCAAACAGAATTTTATTAGAGAAGATGAACAGTACACAATCCAAGGCCGAAGCCTCCCAAATGAGCCGAAGCCCCCAAAGAAGGAGATAAACTCGATCTTCCCAGTCCCAAGACTAATCGTCTAAAAGCCTGCTTTCTAACTCCCTTACCCCTCTATTTATACTAGGGTACTCAGACCCTTATTACTAATATTATTATTAATACTTCTATTATTAGTCTAATATAAGTGGGTTCCTATCACCATGTGACACATCTGTCTTGCCTTTTTTGTTGTTATTATGTCTTCCCAAATATATGTGCTGTCTTTCAATTTGATAACATTTTGTCCATGCGTTATTCAACTATGGCAGACAAAAATCCAGGACGAGGTGATTGCAAGAGAGATTGTCATAAATGATGCTGACTCTGCTGTTCGATACAAACTCACAAAGCGCCAAACCCAAGAAGAGGTGCTCTTCCTGTAATTTGAGATTGATAATGATCATAGATAGTATCATACTTGGATTATGCATGCACTATTATTTGATGCTAAATCAATTTGCTGATTTCCCAGATTCAGAAGAGTACAGGTGCAGTGGTAATAACTAGGTGTGTGCCTTGTGAAAATATTATGGGGCTCATTTTTAAGTGCTTCTCTTCCTCTTCATGTAATACATATGCTAAATGGTCTTTGCAGGGGCAAGTACATGATTCCTAGTGCACAACCTGATGGTGCAAAACCTCTATATCTTCATATTTCTGCTGGAGCACATGTAAATGGCTTGCCTTCTGTAAATTTATTTGTGATTCTATTCATGAAATACCACCTAATACTTTCTGAGTTCAAACATCCTATTAAGTGTATTTCCTTTTTGTTGTTCTCTTAGTTTCTAAGAAGGGCTGTCTTTCTCTTTCTTTATTTGTATGTCTGATAAACAATGTAAAATGGTTTGAATTAATATTGCACGATCTACTTAGCAGAACTGATTCTGATGTGTATGCAATGTTATATGATCGATTAGTTAGAAACAACAGTGGAGAGGATCAAAGCAGTTGACCATGCAGCGTCACTTGTGGAGGAAATATTGAAAGAGGGTTCATCAAACAATGGGTTGAAGGTTTTATTCACTTAAAGTCAATGAAAGTGACAAACAATAGGGTAATTGCAATGATTAATTTAGTATATTTTGAAATTTCTAGCAGGCTAATCCCTCCATGAGTACCTGTGTCTATGTGGGCTTTGAGGTTGATGCATCCTTGAACATTTCTGCTCGTATTCGAGGACCAAATGTGAGCCTAATCCCTACATGATTGCGTATATGCATACTTTCATTTCTGCTCATTGACTGTTGATCAGGGTGGTGAAATATGATGTGGGGAAGAATACTTCTATAGTAGTGGTCATTTAAGTCTATGTTTGCCTTTTATTTATTGAATTTATCACTGTGAAGGTGCAGTAGCAATATCCCAAGTCCTTTTTGTAATCTCATTTTCTTGTCGAAGCATTCATTTCATATGCATTTCCTTGATGAATTTCATTGGTTTTTTTATTTCGCTCAATACAAGAAAGACAAGAATGTGATCATTGGGAGAGATTCTAACGTCCTTAGCTTTCTCTGACTTCTCCGTCCATTGGGAGAGATTCTTTTGTTGCTGGTGGTTTCCTTTTGAAAATGCAGGACCAGTATATAAATCACATTATGAATGAAACAGGAGCAACTGTTGTGCTAAGAGGTCAAGGTTCAGAGGGTTCTGGAACTGTACATGGTGAAGGTGATTTTTATGCTGTATCACATTAATATATTATTCCTAGGTACTATTATGGACATATATTCTGTGATTAGATGATTTCTACATATGGATTTACTCTCAGATGGACATCAACCGCTGCATTTGTTCCTATCGAGCAATAATTCAAAAAGTCTTGAGCGTGCAAAACTTTTGGCAGAAAATTTGCTGGATACTATATCTGCGGAGTTTGGTGCTTCTAGGTATTACATTTCATTTGTCTCACTGGTCAAAATGTGATCATAAAAATTACTTGTCATTTATCGTCAATCCTTGATACTACCATTCATTGGATCTTGTATTTTCTTACAACATAGGGTGTCTTCTTGTAAAGTGTATGGAGCTGTTCCTCCCCCACCGCAGCTATTAGCTGGAAGTAATAGTTTGGGAGATGAGTTGAAAGTAAATAATTCTCAAGATGCTAATTTAAGTTCTGCAAGTGTGGGTGTGTCTGTACCAGCTGTTCCTTCTGTGGCTCCGGGTATGGACATGAATGTTTCTCAAGGAATTGTACCCCAGTCTTTAGGCTCATTCATTATGCTGCCATCTCAATCAAACACAAATTACTACCCCCATACGCCAATCTTGAGTGGAACGAGCTATATGGGTTACGGTGGGATTTATCCCCAAGTCACACCCTTACAACAAGTTGCCTTAGCCCTTAGACAGTCGATCTCTAAAACAGCTGCAGGCTCCCCAGAATCAACAACTAGCACCAGACCCCTGACTACTACGACATCCTTTATTCAGAAGGAGCACCCCCCACATAAACGCAAATTCAGAGAGTTACCAACTAATATAATGGTCGCATCAAATCTTAATCAGGTATTAAAATCTGTTCTCCTTGTCTCTACCTGCTGGCGTGAAGCCAATGGCCTATTATCCCTTAGTTTGTGTCTATTTGATTTAAATAAATGATAGCATTGAACAATGCACCAATTTCATCAGTCTTCTTATTAGATCTCATCAATGCAATTTTTCATAGTCTTTGTTCCGCAACTAAGTTTGCTGAAGATATTAAATTCAACTTATGCTTTGTGATTTATTATTGAAAAGCTCTTGCATGTTTTTCCATTTGAGTGCAATGTCTTTTTTATACTGACCTTTACTACTTGATATTCCAGGTATTTTCTCTCACCTTCTAAGAAGCTAACATGGCGATTCTGGACCCTATTGGGCATTTGTATGTTTCACAGGGTTTTATGAACTGGGAGCTGCATGGAATTGCTGCATGTTATCTCAATAATCTTGGTGGTGCTAGAGCAAAATTTATACTAACCATGCTCTGTTGATGAACAGGCCTTATGGCCCATTAGCAGCTGCTTAAAATAGCAAAGAAGTTACATACTTCTCTTTTTTAATTGTCATTAACACAGATTTTTTTTTTAATATTAGATAATTGAATTTTAATCTCTGAAGTTTTTCCTACCCTTTTCCGTGCATAATATGAAAAGAATTACTCCCTTCGTCCCATTTGATTAGATATGCTTATTATTTTAATCACCCCAAAATTATGTTCAATTATCTAATTTCTACTAACTTTGTGGGCCCATGTTGCTTTGCCTCTATTATGAAGGTTAATATTGCATAATTATTATCTGGTCTTAACATATCTGTCAAAGGAAAATGCATCTTACATTGTGGGTACACAGGTAGTACAAGAAGTTCCATACTTTACTATTCCCTTAAAAAGAGAATGCTTATTCCCTATCTTGTGCTACCTCCATTCCACAAAGATTAGCCACATTTGATTTATAACATGGAAACTAAATCTATATATTTTAACTAAGATATATCTATTAAAAACAACGGTCAAAATTCAACACCTTTCATCTTCATGGGCATTTCTAGTCAACTGTGTTGCAGTCATTAGGTTGAGCATTACACAAGGCTCTGTTCTTTATAATATGCTCATATATGAATTTCGTCCCTAATTATGAGATATCTATCTTCCATGTTTTAGCATGCTGATTTAAGCATTGTATCGTGTGATTCAAATCTCTTTATACATCTCTCCAAACTTGTTGGCACTCCATGATTGTGGTAGTCAACCCACTGCCTGGGAGCAGGAACTTCTGATAATGTTTAAGAGAGAGTTAGCTGATTGTTATATATGTCTTGCACATTAGATGTAATTTTTCTTTAATTACTTAGGATTCTGTATTGGGTTTTCTTGTAAAATCATATGCAGGAAGTGCTGGCTCCAAAGGCTCAGGATCTAACTGGTGTTAGAGATAATACTACTATTCCTGGCACAAAGGTGTGCCAACCACCTTCTAATTTAATGCCACCGCCACCTCCTCCTCCCAAGATGATGCCAATGACTCCTCCACCACTACCGAAGTTTAATTCTCCAACCTCTAAAGTGCACGGGATAAACAATACGCCTCAAAGGCCATCCTCAGAAAATATTCCTGGTACATTCACGGATCAACCTCTTCAGTTTTAGGCTTTTTTTGGGAAGGGAACGCAAGGGCAGGACACCACTTCTTTTATTTTTAAAATTCATAGAACTGTCTCTGGTTTATGAGCTTAAATAAGTGATTAGGACATTGAGTTCATCAAAAAAGAAAAAGAAAAAAAAGGACATTGAGTTATCATTTGAAAAAACTTGTGAGGTTTTAAGCAATATTTGCTTAAAAAGTAAGTTAGCTTCCTCCCAAACAGGAAACAGATTTGCTGGCTTTGCAAGTTGCATGCTTGTCTATCAGACTCGGGTGGTGGGGTTGGGCATGCAATCATGTATAGGGATTTAAATCTGCACCGTCCCTGTCCCTTCTCCCGCCTCAAGTTTATACAGGCTTCTATGCTTCAATGTCGTTCTGCAGCAGTCTTGGTTGCAGAACATACAAGTATACGACAATAACATTACCTGAGAGAGTCTTGGTTGCAGAACATACAAGTATACGACAATAACATTACCTGAGAGAGTCTTGGTTGCAGAACATAAAGAATTATAATGATCAACTAGTATTAAAAACACTTCATTCAGTTTTTAGTGAAAATAAATTAATTGAAAATGTTGGCTTGTTTCTTTGATTTCATGCAAAATAGATACTCTAGTGAAGCTAATGGAATATGGGGATGATGATGAAGATGATGACATTGAGGATGGTGTTGCTGGGGAGAGATTGCAGGGGAAATCAATTGTACCAGAGGGTCCAAAACCATTCTGGGCTGTTTAAAGATGCTAATTCGTCCCGTGGAACTCTCTGCTCTCTAATTGATTGTTAATGAATCATTTATTAGGGTGACATTTCAATGTATTGACCCACCCGGATAGCAATGGCATGATTTCATCTTAGAGAGAGGGGGGTTGACCCCCAAACATGGCGGGAGGTGAAGAGGTTGCCTTACTTAGGGAGGACTGTTATCATGCTTTTTCCAGGAGGGTCACCCTACTGCTTGGAGTTAGAGGCAACTCAGTAATACTGCAAATTTATTGCTTAATTGTGCTGGTAGTACTTGAAGACTACTCCTTCAATGTTTTGCATGGGTTATAAAACTGGACATGCAAACGGTTGTACAGTGTTTGATGGCCTAGTGATTTGGTTGAATTACAAGCATTAATATTTTTTCAGCGCAGTATTTAATCCCTCTACTCTAATTGTGTTCAAATTAGTCGGACATCTACTATAATTTGGTACGATCAAGGACAATTATTTACGCCATAATGATATTGGGGGTGTTAGGCAATGGTTGTTGGCTAATGCTAGCTGTTGGCTGTTTTAATTAGTTGATTGGTGACAATTTTGTTGAATGTTTTGATTAGCTACCATAAATTGATGTTTGGTTAAATGATTCTTTACAATCAGCTGATAAATCCTTAACTTTTAAGGACATCAATTACTTTTTGGGAAAATGGAAACTAATAATCCAACCTTTTAGCAGTCTTCTTACAATAGTCTCACCTTTTCGTTATTCAAGAATAATCCAACCTTTGCATCCCATCTTCATTCGCTGGTCTCTGACCGGTTAATGACCTGTTATTCCAAGTTATTTTCTTATCTTTGCAAAATATTATCTTTGTGAAAGGTGAGATTTATGGTATAATGGTTTGCAAAGATAAGAAAATAACTTGGAATAGTTGGTCATCAACCGGTCAGAGACCAGTGAATGAAGATGAGATGCAAAAGTTGGATTATTCATGAATAACGAAAAGGTGGGACTATTGTAAGAAGACCGCTAAAAGGTTGGATTATTAGTTTCCATTTTCCCTTACTTTTTTGATAATGTTATTAGTCAATTATTTAAATCATTTTCTGATTTTAAAAAATCAGTTGTGCATTTGTTGTTGCAGCTTTATAAAAACATGTTATTGGTAAGCATTTCATGTATGACGCCATGACGGTGATATGATCATATGAAACTCACTCAGTAATATCTCATAGTACTACTTTTCCATTTTTGTTACTCCGTATAAGGTTGATTAATTGTGATAACGCTTTTCACTAGGTTACTAAAATACTAACAATTTGCAGAGATAAGACATCAACACTAAAAATAACAACAAAATTTACATATAGACAAACTAAAGAAGGATCTAAATAGCAAAAAAGAAGTAACTAAAGAAGGATCTAAACAACAAAAAAAAAGTAACTAGTCGGCCAAGACCCAAGTCAATGTTTCCAGCCATTCATAAAGTGGGGAAGAAATAGGAAATTTCAAAAAAAATTGATGTGGGAAAAAAGTATATTGACAAAATTTTGGAGAAGTGGAGAACAATCAGATAGATTGACTACTGGAGAATGGCATGCGTTAGTCACTTGGTCTCAGAGGTGTGCTGTGTTCTTCTTTAGGTGGAAACAGTTTTCTAGAAGAAGAAGGCAGTAACGGAACTCGCATGGCAGTATTAGGAAAAATAAGGGAACGCAGATGGTAAACACCGGGATGAATAGCGTTTCATATTTTGGCTGTTTGGAACAAAAAGTCAATTGATAAAGTCATTTAATCAGCCTCTTATTAGCTGTTTGATTTGGTCAAAAGGCCAAACATGGTCAAAAGGCCAAACATGGTCAAACACCCCCATGAATTAACGAGTCCGAATACCATACAGCCATTAGTCTGACTTGTATCATATAGCCGGTGGCATTTTCTTAATTAATTTAAGTGAAAATCTCGATTTCCATCAAATGAGCATTATATTAATACACTTTTAGTGAGCATCAGACCTTTTCTGCTAAGTATTAGAGGCTAATAATGAGCATCGTGATATCTTTTTATATCTTCTAAAAACAAGACTGAAACTCAGAGTTTCGAACCCTTATGTGCCTAGCGGGTTTCGAACTCGAGACCTTCCACTAGGCATGGTAAACTCACAACCAACTGAGCTGAAATGCTTGGTTATTTTTATTTCTTTCTTTTTCTTTTGTAAAATTGCTTAAATTATATCTATAATTAACTTCTATGGATTCTAATATGTGATTGGACGACCAGGTGAGCCTCGAATGAATCAAGTTGCAACAAGAGGGAACTTGCACTTGGTCGTACTGCATCAATGGAGGAATTCTGCTCTTCGCGATGATGGTGAGGTGAAGCTCGGAGCGATGAGCGGATGGTGAAAGTCAAGCGATGATGCCAATGAAGAATGATTCAACGTGCAATCAATCTGAAATCAGAAAAGGAGGGAAAAGGAGGTTCCAAATTCAGAGTAATTTATCAAATACATGGTTGCACCACCCGTGAAATACAACTATAATATAATTTGCCTTAATTAACTTGAATTATGTGGCAATGTTGGTGCTGATTTGGTAATGCGTCCATAAAAATGTATACACTAATACACTGGTTTAATTTCTTTCATGATTAAAAGCTCCCACCATAAACACGTTACAAGTTGGTTGATAAACATGAGGAAAAGATAGAGTGACATTGTGAAAATATACTAAAACTTTTGATATTTTCCCGTAATTTCCATTTTATATGGTTTAATATCATGACCAATTGACCATATATAACATTCTTTTAAAAAAGCAGGTAACTATTTTTTAAATTCTAAAAATAACTGCAATCAATTTATAAGTACTATTTCATAATCAATTTATCAATACAAATCATTAGGAAAAGAACACTACTTAATAAGTCGAGGTTTCAAATAATCGCTCCACCTTGTTTAATCAAGTAGTACATTACTTTTAAAATAATTTTAATCCTATTTTTTTGGCAAAACTTTCTAACCTATTATATCACTGTTTTATGTTAAGATCATCATCCTTAAATTGTGATGAGATTCGAACTTGTGACTCCCTCCTCTTTGAGAGTGTCACATTGATGTTATCAGACCACAAGGTACTTGGTATGTGACCTCTTCCTACTTATTTAATCACAATATTTATATTCTCCATAACGTTGCCCAATGCGGTTAAGCCCGTGTTAGACATATAAATTTGAGATCACACAATTCACGCAAATTGTAGCATTATCAAAATGAAAAGCAAACAGTACTTGATCTACCAAACTAAATTTAGCTCAAATTCACTCAAGTAAAATAAAAATGTTTTAGCTCGTGTGACTATCATTAAATTCTCTATATGCAATAACCCTCTAACGTTTTAACTAATATTATTACTTTAATTACGTTGTTATTTAAAATTAAAAATGTTTGTAAACTAATACATTGAAAATAGTAGTGAATTATTATTGTGCATTGATTTCAAATTCTTTTGAAATATATAGTACTCAGTAATTTTTAATTTTTAGTAACTATTGTTTTTTGACCATTTAACAATTATTGTTAATGCCTTTTATTTAGGCTTTTTAACCAATAAAATATGTTTCTACTATAATTCAATAATATTCAAACATAATGTATAAACAATATAGAAGTTTGATGTATAATATACTTGACGAGAATAGAGGTTTTCGGCAAGAATTTGTTGATGGAGTTGAGAAATTTTTTACTTTTACACTTAGATAAATCCAATATACGGATGGTGTTAAATTAAATTTCAACATGGTGAGGAAGTTCGGTGGTATTTGTACACACAAGTTTTGTTGATAATTAGTATAATTTGACTTTGAATTTTCATGAAAACTCTTTGATCTGTCACTTTTGCCACAAACCATGTTCATCTCGTAACGTTTCCAAATATTACTCCTATTTGTGAAAGTTGTTTATTTTTAATCTTATTTGGAGCAATTTCTTAATTTTTATCTACTCCCAAATGTAAAAGTTTAAAACATCAATTGTATTTTGGTGTTTTACACTCTTACTCCTTCCTTAAGTTGATATATCATTTGGTCTGGTTTGACTTGTTGGAGTGCTTGAGCTAGGTTTTGGAGGCACCTGTGGGCAGTGTCACGATGATGATGTGAGGAAGATGACATGAGCATTTGCAGGTGTGATCTTATTGGTCTCCTTGAATTATCTCTAACTTAATCCATAAGTTGATATATCATTTGGTCTGGTTTGACTTGTTGGAGTGCTTGAGCTAGGTTTTGGAGGCACCTGTGGGCAGTGTCACGATGATGATGTGAGGAAGATGACATGAGTGTTGGAGGTATTGGTCCTACCAAGGCCTCCCTTCCACTTTATTATTTAGGCTTGCACCCCATGTTTACTCCCACTTTGATTCCCTGAGTTGAAATCACTCATTGGTGGCATGTTGACTTATTTGGAGTATACCCCACCTCTGTCCGCTGCTCCTTATTTTTGCCTTGCTTATACCCGTGAGCTGTTGTTGTCTTGGCTACACCCGTGAGTGTCCTGTTGTTATGCCCGTGACTTCTCAATAGGCTGACTGCCTATTATAAAGTCAGCTCCTTTCCTTCTTTGTGAGATAAGCCTGCGAGAAGAATACTCCTTGTGCAGTGTCTTCCTTCTTCCTTTCCCTTTGTGTGAGAGTTCCTTAGTGGAGTGAAGAAGAGTGAGTAAACATGGGAGATGGAGTGGCCTAGTCTAGAGTGGTGTGTGTGAGTTTAGTGTAGAAGGTTGGAGACCTGAGTCGGAGACGGAAGAAATTAATACCTTACAGTGGTATCAGAGACAGGTTCGCCGTCTGCCGCCACCTGCCGCCGCATTCCGCCGCCGCCAGAGCTCGCAGGAGCCCCTGAGGTCTGGTTCTTGGTCGTACTCTGCCCGGCATCGATTCTGGAGACCTTAGTCCAGAATCATCGCTGCGTAGGAGTCACCACCTGAAAATCCATTCGCAGCTGGAGCCGCCGTTGCCGGAACGAAGCTCGCCGTCCGTCGGGAACTCGTCGCTGGAGCTCGACGCTGCAGGTCGCTCGCCGCAGGAAATCGCCACCGGAGTTTCTGGCCTTCACCGGGGAGACGCGCCGACCGTGGAAGCCAGTTCGCCGGAGGCCTGCCGTCGAAGTCGCCCATCACCTGGAACCTCGCCGCCGCAGGGAAGCTCGCCGCCGGTAGCCTGGGATCTCGCCGGTCGTCATTCCTCGCTGGTCCGCAACGAGCTGGAGATTTGTGGCTGGTATTTGTTTCTTGTCTTCGTTCGCAGGTTGGCGTAGAAAGAAAGCAGGCACGCAGCCTTGACTTTGACCAAGGGGCTGCTGGGCTGATTTTTTGCTTGGGCCGCTGGACTGCTACTGGGCGTCTGGGCCAGTTTGATTGACTGCTGGGAAGCTGCTACCTTGGACTGCTGCTGTTTTGGACTGAAGCTGGATTGCTGGACTTGGGCTGGAGGCTGGACCTGGAGCTGGAACCAGTCAACCGCCGGTCCACGACGGTCAACCGCCAGTCAACGCCGGTCAACGTGGTCAACGCCAGTCAACACAGTCAACTTCTCAGAAAAATCCCAATTTTTTTTAA